GATAGTAAGTCTGATCAGTTCGATAAGATCAAAATGGTAGCTTATGTCCGAAACGACGTCAAGCCTGTCGTTAACAGGGGCAAAAGATGACTTATTAATTTTAACGCCTTCAAAGCTAAATTTCTCTCTATTAATCAATTAAGAGACCCCTCTCTGCTGTCCATAAGCATGGCTGATGCTAACCTGCATAAGTCTTTGCGACATCTCGGTCTAACATTCCCAGCTGACATGAAATGGAAAGACTATATTGAATCCATTGCTAGATCAAATGATAAGAATGTTTGTTCATTGTGTCGTGCGCGACTTTTTTTTCTCTCCAGAATCTATCATACATATGTATATGTCTAACATTCGTCCATGCTTAGAATACTGCCGCCACATATGGTCCGGTGCACCTGATATTTACGTTGAGCTCCTTGATAAAATCCAAAGAAGAATCAGCAATATTATTGGTCCTGATCTGGCTGCTCGGCATCTGTCACTTTCTCGCCGTCGTAAGGCTGCCTCCCCGTGTCTTTTCTATAAATACTTTTATAGCAATTGTTCGGATGAGGTCTTCACTATGGTACCTTGATTTCTTTTTTTATTTTATTTAAGCGCAGTATTAGACTGGCGTCGAGATCTGATCAATTTACAGTCGAGCTGGCTAGATGTAACCGTAAATTCTATGCTAACAGTTTATTTTCTCGCACTTCTCGCTTGTGGAACACCACTCCGGCCCCACGCTTTCCAGCCAATTTTAATCGACAAAAATTTAAATACAATGTCAATCGCTATATTTGTTCCAGCTCAATAGTAATGTTTGTTTTTCTAATTCTTCCGCAGACATTTTTTGTCTCAGTGGCTTTACTACTTTGCATGGGGTGAAATCAATTTTAAAAAAAAAAGAAGAAATTTAATCGATGATGAACTCTCTTGTCTCACGGATATTTGAGTGTGAATTTGATCCTCACCAGGCGTTCATTTACTGTTTTTCTTGTCCCAGGTCAAAGCTCTGTTAATGGCTATTTTTGTGCGTCTACGGTACGTGTTGTTTAATAATCTCGTCTCCCCGAGCAATTCGCATGGGTAGTAAATTTGACCCTCGGTGTGTGGCCTACTAATATGGCATTATTTTTGCCTAAGCCGAACTAAAACCCCAAAATATATCCACGTTGAAATAAGCTTAGTTTTTTTTCTCTTTGTCTTTCTTTCAATGCTCACTTCGCGGCCCTATAAACGTATCGTCTTCGAAATCAATAGATATTTAATTATCATTAATTATAAGCATCACCTTTAGAAGAACGGGTGAGATGATTTTTTTTTTTTACAGAGATAACTCCTTATGCTGAAAATCCCGCCAGGTAACCCGATTCAGGCTTCTAAATACGCCTGTTGCTATTTGGACACATTCCACTTGACGAAGAGAGTCGATTCGTAGACGAATAGAAACTCATAATTGTCTTTGCTTCTTCGTTTCTGGATTCTGTCTCGCTTCGCCCATTGTTAACGACAACCGAAAACTCATTCGTCCGTTGTTGGCTGCGACGAGATGATATAATTTGTTTCCATCGCAGTGGACTCGAGAGGAGCAGTAGTAGCAGTCGTAGTAGTAATAGTAGCAGTCGTAGTAGTAGTAGTAGTAGTAGCAGTCGTAGTAGTAGTAGTAGCAGTCGTAGGAGTAGTAGTCGTAGTAGTAGTAGTAGCAGTCGTCGTAGTAGTAGTCGTAGTAGTAGTAGCAGTCGTAGTAAGAAGAAGAAGAAGAAAGAGGAGGAGGAGGAGGAGGAGGAGAAGAAGAAGAAGAAGAAGAAGAAGGTCTTTAGTGTTTATTTCGGTTTAGCGCTGACAATGGTTTGTACGAGAAAGAGTCTCCTGTTGTCCATAAGTCCGTAAAACCGAAATGCTGAGTTGAATGGAAGAACTACAAGAACAGGCAATTCAGGCGTCTCTAATAAGGAAGACTTGCGACATAAAAAAAAAAATACGCGGAAAAGAAGAACAGTAACAAGAAAAATAACAATAAAAGAGGCGAAAATATAATGTCTGAGAAAGAGAGGAACGTTTGGTTATTCACTTTACTTTAATGGTTTCTTTCTTTCTTTTGTCTTGTTTCCTGTTTTTGTTCTTGGCTTCATTTTATGTTTCTTTTATATTTCTCGTTTCCTTTCACGATTTCTTTCTTTTTCTCTTCTTCGCCATTTTGTTTTTGTTTCATTTCACTTTGTTTCGTTTCGTTTTTCGTTCCGTTTTTGTTTTGTTTCACCATCTCTTTCTTTTCTTCTTTCTTATTGCCTCCTTTCTTTCTCGATGGTAGCAGTTATTCTTTCACGTGAGGTTCTTTCTTGCATATTGTAATAATCACTTCTTATTTCAGCTCTTATTTTTCTTTGTTTTTTCTTATTCATTCGTCTCTTTTTTATTCTATTTTTTTTTTGCTGTTTTCTTTTTTCTTAGATAACTTTTTCATTCTATTTTTAACTTTCTTTCTTTATATTTTAGTTACTTCTTCCATTCTTATTTATTGATTCACTAGCAACATGGCCCGCCGTTGCCCGTGCTTGATTCAAAAATCGTACGACTCATACAGCAATCGCTATCACTTGACTTAGAATATTTTTACCCTTCCTTGCCTTTAAAGGAGTGCCCTTTGCCGTGCTGATGTTGCTACATGCCTTACTTCTTGCCTATCTCACACTGCGAATTTTTTTCTAAGCTCTATACTAAACATTAGACTCTCAGATAATTAATATATATCAGTTTAATTTTGGAGGTGTTACAGTTAACAAGCCATCATTTGCCCCTGTTAACAACTTTCTTTTTAAGTACTATCAATTATTCTTCCTTATTTGGAAATTTTTTTTTATTTTACTTACTTTAGTCCTTTTTTAATTCTTTTTATCTCTTATTAATTATGGAGGTACGTTGGAGTAATGGATTGCGTCTCGGATTTCGGAATCGGAAAACCAAGATCGAATTCCTGTCGTGTTCGTTACATTCACATAGGTACTAATACCCTTGGGAAAGTTATGAATCCATCGCTTACCCTCCGCAACACCACCAGCAGGACAGACTGGATTCTATAACTTTGGGTGCCAACCGAACAGGACTGTCTCCATCTGTATTATCTTCCTAACACCATAACAACGCATTTTTATTTACCTTTCTTACTACATCTACCGTAATACCGCATTGTCTCTATGAGAATCCTAACTCTGGATTTTGACTAGTCTGGAAAATTCGGACGGAGGGACCCGAATGCAGTACTGCCTGGTATTATCTGGCATTCCCATCTGCCTGATTTCTCTCTGCAGATGTCATACATTTGTGGGCCCTCGGATTGTAGGAGTAGGAAAGTGTTGTAGAGTGAACGAAAAGTTTTTCTTCCTCTGTATGAGAACGAATCCCTCGTACGCCAGTGTTGTATATGGCGAACGATTTTTTTTTTATTTTTTCTTCTGTCTGACTTCGAATCAGAAGATTGCGAGTTCGGGTCTCGTCGTGGTCTCCAAAGTTGTTGTAGAGTAGTTTCACAGTGGAGGCTTGTATTTCACTAAGTCGGTCCTAAAAAGGTTCGACGTACAAAACGTTAGGAACTTGATATAATATTAGGTTGGTGCAAAAATAATGACGTAATAATGTCGTTTTGACGTTAAACAATACGTCAAAAAACGACATTATTACGTCATTATTTTTGCACCAACCTAATAGTTAATCACGCAGCAATCTAGTTATGGTAGTTGATACTTTAATGTCCGACATTGACTGACTCACCAACTCTCTGCGCGATATTCAGTCATTCCCCCCGTCCACGAGGGCATCATGTGGCACAATGCCAGTTTAACATGGGATCTCCGATCCAGTGGGCTCGGCCAAAAATATGCCCTTTTAAAACCCGTATAAACGGGTCCAGGATCGGTTTACCTCACCTCAAGAGATTCCGCCCTTCGGCGTAGCCTCGTTCGTGTTCCTTCCTGCCCGAAGGCAGAGAGTTCAACCGGTCAGCTGGTCGTCTGACTTCAGACTGAACTCGGACCAACTCTCTGAGCGATATTCAGTCACCCCCCACCCCCCACGAGGGCATCATGTGGCACAAGGCCGGTTTAAATTTAAAAATATGCCCTTTTAAAACACGTATAAACGGGTTCAGGATCGGTTTACCTCCCCGAAATAGACGTAGCCTCGTTCGGGTTCCTCCCTGCCCGAAGGCAGAGAGCTCAACCGGTCAGCTGGTCGTCCGACTTCTGAGATACTTCGCGACTGCTACTATTACTACTTATTATATGTGGGAGAGTCTATTAACTATAGAATAGGTGTGTTCCAGTACAACAGAAAGAGGGGGTTGCTGTCGCTCAACGCAAACGATCCCAACCTGCGCAAGGCTCCTAGCTGTGTTTGGTTGGGTCATCATCGATTCTCGATTTAAAAAAAAAAAGAACATGTTTTCTTTTCTATTTCAGTTCTTTCTTTCTTTTTATCGATTTAGTAATTATTCATTCTTATTTGAGTTTCTTTCTTGTGTATTGTTAAACTTATTTCTTATATAACTTCTTTTTTCTTTTCTTTTTTATTTATTGTCTTTCTTTTTCGTTATTGTCGCATTTATTATTATTTTTTACTTCAGTTTTTCGTTTTAGATGTTTCTTTTATTTTTTTTACTGTTTCATTTCTTTCTTTCTCGATTGTAGCAATTCATTTTTATTTCTTATTTCAATTCTTATCTTTTTAATAATTTCATCTTTTTTTTCTAGATTATTAAATTATTTTTCTAGTCTATCCCAATTTTTTCTTTCTTTCTTTCTTTCTTTCTCGATCTTCGTTTTCTTTCTTTTTATTTCATTAAGTATTCTTTCTTTCTTTCTTTCTTTCTTTCTTTCTTTCTTAATATTACTCATCTATTTCAATACTTTCTGTCTTTCATTTTACGTCATTAAAAATTCTTTTTTCTTTCTATTTACTACACCCTCTCTCTCTCTTTCTTTCTTTCTTTCTTTCTAAGAGTATCCATGTCTATTGATTTATGTATGAGTCTCTTCTTTCTTTCTTTCTTTCTTTCTTTCTTTCTTTCTTTCTTTCTTTCTAAGAGTGTCCACGTCTATTGATTTATGTATGAGTCTCTTCTTTCTTTCTTTCTTTCTTTCTTTCTTTCTTTCTTTCTTTCTTTCTTTCTAAGAGTATCCATGTCTATTGATTTATGTATGAGTCTCTTCTTTCTTTCTTTCTTTCTTTCTTGCTAAGAGTATTCATGTCTATTGATTTATGTATGAATCTCTCCTTTCTTTCTTTCTTTCTTTCTTTCTTTCTTTCTTTCCATGTTTTGATTTATGTATGAGTCTTTTTTTCTTTCTTTCTTTCTTTCTAAGAGTATCCATGTCTATTTATTTGAATCTCTCCTTTCTTTTCTCTTCTTTCTTTCTTTCTTTTTTCTTCTTTCTTTCCATGTTCATTTTTTCTTTCTTTCTTTCTTTCTTTCTTTCTTTCTAAGAGTATCCACGTCTATTGATTTATGTATGAGTATCTTCTTTCTTTCTTTTTTTCTTTCTTTCTTTCTTTCTTTCTTTCTTTCTTTCTTTCTTAATACTTCCTATCTTTTTCTTTCATTTCTTCTATCTTTCTCTATCTTTCCCATGTATTTCAATACTTTCTTTCTTTTGATATTTATTAAGAATGATTTCTTTCTTTATATCTGTATTTTTTCTTTCTTTACCGATCATTACTTTCTTTCTTTTTATTTCATTAAGAATTCTTTCTTTTTTCTCTCTTTCTTTCTTTCTCTCTCTCTCTCTTTCTTTCTTTCTTTCTTTCTTTCTTTCTTTCTTAATATTTCCCATCTGTTTCAATACTTTCTGTCTTCCTTTTCATTTCGTTAAGATTTCTTTTCCCTTCTTTCTATTCACTTCTTACCGCTCTCTCATTCTTTCTTTCTTTCTTTCTTTCTTTCTTTCTTTCTTTCTTTCTTTCTTTCTCGGTCTTTGTTTTCTTTCTTTTTATTTCATTAAGTGTTCTCTCTTTCTTTTTACTTATTATGACTCTTCTCCAGACGACAGAAGAAATCTTAAACAATAATAATCATTTCGTTATCTCATTCATGGTAACCGTTGGGATGAACTCTTCGCTATGGTAGTAGTCCCCAAATGAATTGTGCATATGGCGACTAGTTAGGATTTTCATAGAGACAATGAGGTATTATGGTGGCTGTAGTAAGAAAGCCAAGTAAGAATGTGTTGTTTTATTGTTAGAAATATTGTTTGTATGTTTTGGTCAATGTTTGTGGCTAGCTAAGTTTAAAGTTAAGACAGATGGACACAGTTCTGTTCCCCATTTGCCATCTTGTTGTTTCATTCATTTTATCTTTCTCTATATTTCCCACCGGTTTATATTCTTTTTCTTTTTATTCCATTAAGAATGATTTTTTTCCTTATTTCTTTATTATTTCTTTATTTATCGATCCTTGTTTTCTTTCTCTTCATTGCATTAAGAATTCTTTCTTTCTTTTTATTCCATTAAAAATGGTTTCTTTCTTTCTTTCTTTCGTTCTTTCTTTATCGAGCCTTGTGTTCTTTTTCTTTCTTTTTACTTAATTAAGAATCATTTCTTTTCTATATTTCCCACTTTTCGCTTTTTTCTTTTTTCTCATTTTAAAACTTTCTTCTTATTTCACTTCTTTTTTTGTCATTTTTTCTATTGATTGTTGCATTTAACGCTTCTTTTCTCTTTCAGTTCTTTCTTTATTAATTTTTCATTTTTCTTTCTTCATCGATTTCAAGCTTTCATATTGCATTTTTTCTTTTCAATTCTATCTTTTTTCTTTCCTTTTTCTTCCGTATTCTTCTATTTCTTTCTCAATTGTAGCACTTATTTTTTTCATTTTCCTTTACTTCGCCGTTATTGTAGCAATTTTTACTTTTTTGGTTTCGTTTCGCTTCGTTTCGTTTCGTTTTTGCATTACTCTAATTATTATTTCTTTTCCAATTCAGTTCTATTTTCTTCCTTCTACAGGATGTAAGCGACGTTATTTAATAGCAAAATTATTTCCATTTTGTTCTCATATGAACATTGTGAGATCAGCGTGGTTTCGTTTTTCCGTCGACGACACCTGTCCACCTCGAAGCGCGTTCCAACTGCCATTCTTTAATTATTTATCCAACGTTCAGCGAATTTTCGAACCTAGATAGCAATGTCAAATTGAACAGAAGTCAGTCCGAATCAACCGAAACAAGAAAAACCTTCCATAACGTTGAAAATGTCATTTGCGATGGGTATTTCAAATTTAGCATCGTTGACAAAAGAAAATAATTGAGTGTTAGAAAATTGGAAGTAAGGCTTCTGGAAACAATTTCAGACGAGTCAATAGTGAGGCGCCAATGGCCACGTCGACAGATTGCTTGCCGCATGGCGTTAGTCTGTAAAACTTTTTGCAGACTATTGTGTAACGATGCCTTCTGTAATTTTTGGAAGTGGCATTATCATACAAAGAATTGTTGCCTGTCTATATTTCTGAGATGAGGTATTATGTACATTATTTACATTATTCGGACTATTGTCCTCATCTTTGTCGCCATACAACGTTTCGGTCGTTGTACGCTCCAGCCTTCTTCAGGTAGTTGGAATTACAGTGGATAAAGACGTTAGCTAGATCCAGTGACAGGACGCAAAGAGTGAGAGTTCAATACCCGGTCAAGGCAGTGGAGAACTTTCAGAGGGGAATTAACAGAAGATAACTGATAAGTGACATCCATTAAAACATGACACGTGGAACTAGAACAGTCTACCCCAGTGAGCGAAAGAAAGGGTTCAGTGCGACATTTCAACTGCCTGAAGAAGTCCGGAGCGTACAACGGCCGTAACGTTGTAATAAATATGGCGACAAAGATGAGGACAATAGTCCGAATAATGTAAATAGTGTAAAGAATTGTTGGAACTATTGAAAGTATTTTCTCCGATACTTTTATATGTGTTGTTCGTGTCCTCAGTATTATTGTTCATTACAAAGCTTCGTTTGATTGTTCTATTCAGTAACTTTTCCTGTGCACACAGTTTTCACTGACGTGATGCCAGTTTGAGATTTCCTCTTTGGCACCTGAATTGAAGCACAGTACTAGATTAGTGGCAAGGTCTTATCATTTTACAGATAACATGCCTAGATATAACCGGAAGTTCTATGATAATAGTTTATTTTCTTGCACTTCTCACTCTCTTCCGGTTTCTTGCTTGCAGTCAACTTTAATCTTCGAAAATTTAAATGCAATGTTAATCATTATCTACTTTCTTTTTAATTGTTGTTCTTTTATTCTTTTCTCTCCATAATAGTGTTTCTTTCTCATATTCTCTAACACTGAGCACCCCCTTGCATCTTAGTGGAATTACTGCCTTGTTTGGGGTGAAAAATAATAATAATGGCGAGGGAAGCATTTTAGGTTTATAAATTCGAAATCCTTTCTTATTTCTAAAAAAAGTCTCCTTTGTCTTTAAATAAGTAAAAAAAAAAGAGAAAAAAAAAGAAGAGTAAACGACCCAATAAGGATTGAACTGCTTATGCAATAATATAGAGTTAGGGTGTATTATAGTCAAAAGACAAACTTTGTTCAGAGCTAAAGAAGATGTGGAAAGCCATGATCACCCACGCCCTGAGAAGAAACGGTAGATCGAAAATGGATTTACTATACTACCTAGATCCTTTTGAGAGTTACATTAGTATTAGCATATCAGTATACGTGCATATGGCAGAGTAGTTAAAACGTTCGATTTCTGACTATGGAACACAGGTTCGAATCTCACCCTAGTCAATTTCTCAGTGTGGCGACTTTTTGATCCCGGCGTGCGGTACTTTTGAAAAGTGCCTGAAAACCCATACCACCAGCTGACCCCAGCCTTGTGAGTAAAATTGTTTAGGTCGGAACTGTTCGAAGCCGTCAACAGAAGTGCTAGACTCAAACGAGTCATCGTGACTGAGGGTTTGAAAGTATAGAACTTGTTAATACAGCTGAACGCGCCAGATTACGCGCTGTCTCCCTGGAACGGTAACTAAGGTCCGCTCAGAATAGTTATTGTATAAACCACATGGGGACTCTGTGGGTGTTGACCTGAGAGGGCTTCTGCAACAGGGACTGTACGCGGAAATGAGTAGACCAACAATATATATTATATATTAGTTCACGAGCTATACTCTTTTTTTTCTGTACATAATCGAGGGGTTCCTATAACTCTATTAGATTTATGTACCTTGAAGTTTTACACATTCCACGCAGTAACCTCTTGTAAATTCAACAAATTGCGTAAACAATATCACCTGAATGTCAATTACCGTCTCCCGGAAGTGGAGAGCACTGAATTAGACGCTCTTGCGAAACGGAGGTGCAAATATTGCCGATTTCATTAATCTGTCACAGCAAGCCGCGAAAAGGGAGAACTAATAGCCAACAATATGGCCGTCACTGGCGCATGCGCCCTTTACTTCATTACAAAATTAATGCGAACGCATTACTGGAAAAGTGACTGTCAAGTCATCGAGAGGAAAGTAACTATTCGTCTAACTGACGGAAAGGGTAGGAGAGAGTGGAAGAGTTGGACAAAGGCGCGAACGTGAGCATGATTCAAATAGGCAGCCGACACTTCTTCTCATAAGTCTCTCAGACTACTGTAATGTCCACCTGAC